TTGAAAAAGATGTTAGTTTTGAGAAGCACATAACCAGTGTTTTATCCAGAGGGATGCTCGGGGGGCCGCGCCCCCCCCCCCCCAAACTTGTGATCATCGTGCTATGAACACGTGGCTTGCCCCCCCGAAAATAATTTTTCGCCCCCCCGAAATTCCAAATCGCCCCTCCGGAAAAAAAATCCTGGATAAAACACTGCACATAACCTCCCTATAGTGGACACTTTTGAAAAGTCCGAAGAGTGTTCACTATAGAGAGGTTTTACTGTACTTTATTGTCTGTATAGAAAACTTAAACTCGGAAGATTCTTAGTATATTTAGTTTTATAAAAAATGTAAGAAAAAAGTTTTTTTTGAAATTTTCTGAATAGAGAAATAAACTATCTTCGTCAATAGTTTTGAATTATTCTAAATAAATTAATATACCTGGATTAGTAACATTAGCTTTGAATGGACTATTCATAATATCTTTATCATTCCATTTTATACTAATATTAATAAAACCAACTTCAACAGGTATATAAGTTACTTTTAATAAATTATTTGTAATTCGATCAATTGTAGTTTTAATAACAGAATTAGAACCTTATTGAAAAGAACAAATTAAAATATATTTTTTTTGTGTCTCATTTTTTTTTTACCTTCAATATGAACTTGTAAATCACCTTGCATATCTTTTGTATCAATCATAAATGTTGTTTCTTTTTCATGTAAAGCATAATGAATACCATCACCATATGCCGTTACTATACGAGTATTATTTACCATCATTTGTATTGGAGTACCTTTTATTTTATTTGTTTTTTTTTTTTTTTTTGAAGAATAAAATTAATTTAATAAAAGAAATTTTCTTATACCTGATACAATATCTGAACCAAATTTAGCATTTAAATAATGTATACCGATTTCAGTAGGTGTAAAACGTACTATTTTTTTTATTGTTAATATATCATCAATTTTAATAGGAACTAATCAAATTAAAATTTTAGACTATTAAAAAATTTTATTTTTATTCTTACCATTGATACCCGATGGTGAAATAATACTAACTACAAGTGGTACATTTCCAGCATTATCTATATTTATTTCTAATGTATTTTCTATTCCAATAAGAATATCTTTTGGTAATGGACCAATATGTACTTGTGATGGATCATAGACTTCAGTAAAAAATGGACTACCTTCTATAGGCATATTTCCAAATGTAATATCAATACGATGTTGACCTAATGAAGAAAATTGAGTTATGATTATTTTAAATTTATTTTTATTTACCAATTTTTTTTGGTGTAAATTCACCCATATAATCTCCATTTGCTTGTGGAAATAATTTTACATTAACTGATTCACCTTTTGGACCTATTTATTAGAAATTAATTTATATCAATAGAATATAAAAATATTTGATTCATACCAATAATTAATGATCCACAAATAGTATGTAATATACGTCGATTTGGATCAATCAAATATATTGTTTGTTTATCAATTAAATTTCGTAAAATATTTATAACTTGTTCATTTGTTGGTAATTGTGTTTCAATTTCAAATAATTGAAATGATATTATTGCATAACCTTATTTAAAAAAACAAATAAGACATATCCTAGAGCAAGTACTGAGAAAGTCTTTGCAGGGTACTTCGAAAATTCTCAGTAATTATACCGATGTAGGTACTACATGGGGTACCCATAAAGTACGCACAAGTACTTGTATGGGTACTCGCATCTATAATTTTACTGAGGAAAACTCTACATTTGTTGTGGTCTGTGTAGAGACTCATGCCAATCTTGATCGTAGATGAAGAGTGGACTATTCTGAAGTGGTCTAATGGAAACCCGACCAACTCGAGTCCGGTCAGATTCCGGCATTTGACCTGCTGAGTTTTCGGATTTAAAACAATTAAATATAATTAGCAGAGTACCTGCCAAAGTCAGTGATTTATCTACTGGATGGGCGCCGCCCATCCGAAATTTCGACTCGCCCACTCGGGAAATGAAACTTAGATAAAACACTGGCCAAAGTACCTAAAATTTCCTGTGACATACTGGTAACAGGGTACTTTTTCGGGTATCCTTAACTCAGTACATTCTCTAGAGTAGTACATTGATTAGTTCAATTATAAAAATACAAGGAATAATTAATAATAGATTTCTCGTGACTATAGAAATAAATTGAAAAAAATCTTGAAACAAAACAAAATTTAACAAACCATTTTTATTTTCGAATATTAAATCTCGTATACGTTCTTTTGTAAGTCTTAATTGTGCAGTAAGAAGTATTGTTAATGAAGTTGTAAAAATTTCTAATGGAAATTTAAGTAATTGTTCATAAGTTTCAAGTAATTGAAATGAAATTTTTTGTCCAATATCAAAATTATTACCAACAGATAGATCTAAATACATATATATATATATATTTTTGTTTTCTTTCATTATAAGAAACAATATTTTATACTAAATATTTTTGCTTCAATTGATTCTCGTTGTTCATTACAATGAATACGAAATATACCAAGATTATTTACACGTAAACGATGAAAACATTTACCAGTAATTTGAACGACTTGTTGTCCATGTACATGTACAGAAAATGGAGATCCTTAGAAAAAAAAACAAGAATATTTATCTAAAATAAAATAATTTTCATACCTTTAATAGTTTGATCTCCATTATATATATTAATAAAATAAAGACCAGGTTCTTGTGGAATAAAATTTATACGAATAAGATTATCATTAATAATTGTTATTGTTGATGGAATTTGAATTGTATCGAGAAGAACAACTGCTCGAATTTGTGAATTAGATATTGATTTTGTATGAACTTTAATTTTTCCAAAAAAAAAAACAAAAAATTAAATAATCAAATATTATAAAATTAAAAATACAAAAAAAATTTTCTTACTTTCTATTCCACATGGTCTATTCGTTATACCAGAAAGAAGATTCTTTCCATTAATATCTTTTACTTGAATAAGATATGGTGAATCTAGAAAACAAAAAAAAAACATAGTAACACTTCATTAATAAGGTCACGGATGCAAATTCTCCGAAACTTATTGCAAAGCTGTCCACTTTTTGTGGATTTTAAGCCCTTTCTTTTTGTGCGTTTAAACGTTTGGATTAGAATATAAAGCGAAGCAGCATCTAACAATTGAATATGTTCTCTCATTAGATCGTTTTCAATTCTTTTGTTTATAATCACATTAAAAATCAAAATGAATATTTTAATCCTGAATATGTCAATTGAAAAAAGAAAAACTAAATTTACTTACTGATAATAGATAATCCATTATGAAATAGATATATTTTATGAGTACCAATTAAATAAGGTCGAAATTTAAGATGCCAAATATGTGTATCTTTTGTTTGTTCAATTTGACAAGGAATAAATATTCCATTACATGATACTTTTGCATGTATAGATGATTTTTTAGTAATGACTATATATATCAACAAAAAAGGAAAGAATTAATTTAAAAAAAAATATATTAATTACTTTCTAAACAAACATCATCACCAATACGAGGAATATTATATGGTAAAATTTTTTCTATATGAACAAGTGATAAAGATGATAATAATGGTAGTGATGGTAAAAGTGAATAAACATTTGTATCAATAGTTTTTTCTTGTACAAGTTGATTATTAAATAAAAGTCGAAGTTGATAACGTCCAGGTTCATTTGGAATATATTGAATAAGATATTCTTGATTATTTATTTCATGTATATGACATTGACAAGAATTCATTGATGTTTGTAATGGTGAAATTAATTCAGCTTTTAATTGACCTTGTCCAGCTTGACTTGTATTAACTAAATAAAAATATCTTCTATATATATATTATCCTTAATTGAATTATTTTACAAAAAATTACCTTTATAAGCAACTGTTGTTCTTACAACAACAGGTTCATTATGTTCAGCAATTATAGAAATACCTTGAATATCATATACAGTAATTTCAATAGGTGTACCTATAATAAACAATTAAAAATCAATAATATTTTTTTTTTTGGTTGTTTCTATCTTATGAACTAATATATTATATTCTTATTTTTATTAGGAAAATAATTTTGATTCTAATCGATTTTATTACATATAATTCTTTCTGAATTCGACATAAAAAAAAAATTTTAATAATTTGCCTTATTCATTTTTCTCATCGTTCTTTCATTATTCATCATGTTTATTATGTAATTGTGATAAACTGTTAATTATGTCTATCACGTTTGATTATTAGAATTATCTGCCGATACTTTCTCTCTTGTTTACATATAACAAAAATCCACACATTTAGGTTTTTTCTTCTACAATTCATATAAATTAAGTTCGACTAGTAGCGTAGTCAGGAATTTTTGAGTCATGGGCAACCGTTATGATTTCAAAAATATATATGAGCAATAACTGTTCAAGCACTGTATAGCTCAATAAATCCATAGGCAATTGCCCTACCTCTGGCTACGCCATTGAGTTCGACTATAAAATATAATTTAATATCGAATCTATTTTGTTAAATTTGACTTATTCGCAAAAAAAAACGAAATATAAACTCTGTTAAGATATCTTTTTATTTTTCACACCCATTCGAATTAAACTGTGCTTATTTCTTTTTTGATCATTGATCATTTCATTTGTTTCGACAACAAGTCTTTTTGGGTTTTTGTTTTTGTCGGATGAAATGATCAAAGCAACATTATATATATATCAATTTGTTTCTCTTCAACAAAAATAACAATATAGACAAATTCTCATACTATGTCAATATATGATTAGTCAATGCCAATATAATCTATCGTTTCTAAGCTGATTATCAATATCTTCAAAACAATGACAACGCATACTCATTAATTGATAAAGATGACAAATCAGACATATATATAGATAATGACGAAAAATAAAAGGTGAGAAAAATCATTGGTTGTCAAGACATTTCTAACGAATCTTATTTTATATATATATATATATATAATCGTCATTTTCAAATATATCACAATAGAATATGTCAAACGAAAAACAACAACCACAACATAGTCCATATGATTATTCAGTAAAACGTTTATTATCACAGGATACAAATTCTACAACAACAGGTAAGATAAATATTAAAAAAACAAAACAAAAAAAACCATATATTTCTAGATCGATCAAATGTTCTTCTATGTCCACCACCTAAGAATCGTGCTCGTCGTGCACGAACTTATTTTGATGATCGTTCAATTCAAATACTTGAACATGCTTTTTTACAAGAACAATATCCTGATATTCATCGTCGTGAACAATTATCAAATGAAATTGGTACAAGTGAAGCACGTGTACAAGTAAAACAAAAATGAAATCTATGTTTTTTCTTTTTTTACTTATAATTAATTTAAGGTTTGGTTTCAAAATAAACGATCACGTTGTCGAAAACGTTTATTAAATAAAACAATTACTAATGAAAATGATGAAACAAATTTAAAATTAAATCATAATAATTCATATGAAGATTTACAAACACGTACACCAATGAAAACTATTCCATCGGCAAATATTTTACCATTTACACCAACACCTGTTCAATCACTTTTGGCTACACATTTTCCTTTTTTTCTTCAGCATTTCTATTAATATGTTGTCTTTTTTTTTCTTTTTTGTCTTATGTATGTTATATATATATGTTTACATAATAAATAATTACTTACCGTTAATTGGAATATTTCTATAAGCAATATAAATTTTATATGTACCAATTTTATTTGGTAAAAATGATATTCGTCTACGATTTATTGAAAGTGTTTGTATTTGACAAGGAATTTTTATAGGTTTTAATTGATCATATATCATTACAAAAAATTTTCCTTGACCACTATTATCAATATTACCTAATATGAATATATATGTATGATAAAAATAAAATTATGTGTGAAATATATAACATACAGATAAAATGACAATCATTTATTGGTTGTAAATGATTAAATGATTCGATATGAATTCCATTTGGATTATAAACAGGAAAATTATATGGACAACCTAATAGCAAAAAACAAAAGAAATTATGATTTTGTAATAGTTATTGGTTTAAGCCATCCCCTCAAAAATCGATCTTGGCATAGGAACATTCAAATGATCTGAAATTTGGAGGATATGTTGGGACTACTATGAGGAAGCTATGATAAACTTTTCAGCCCTAAGTATTGAGTTTTAAGGGAGATGTTGACCAAACAAGGCTCAAAATTAGATCATTTGGCAACCGATTTTTCTTTGTCCAGGCTCAGTCAATGTATTAATTTCTGTTTTTTTGTTTGAAAGAGCGTGTCAAGATGCACGGCAGTACGAGATCCTTTTTTCGCTTTTTAAGTGCAAAAAAGGGATCACAAGTTAAATGACTGAAAAAAGAGTTACCTGTATATACAATAAAAAAAAGTACTTAATTCAAAAATCGGACCTTGGTTTGCCCTACATCTTGACACGCTCTTTCAAACAAACAAAAAAGAAAATTTAAATACATTGCATGGATCTGTACTGAAAAATTTGGGTTGCGTGTTCGAAATATCGTGAACGGAGAAAAAAATGAAAAAGATTTTCGATTTTTTTTCGCATAGAGGATGACGAAAATCTTGAAAAATTTTTGTCGTTTCTGAAAGAGCAGATTGTAGACTATGTTCCTATGCATTTATCTCAATTTCGATGCTTTTGACTAAAAGTGACTTTGTTTTTGAGCGGATGGAGAGGAGGGGCGGCCTTAAACTAACATTCCAACATATATTTATTTATAGATAAGATATATGAAAGATATTTAGTTTTACCTAGAATAAGTTGTCCAATATAATCTTTTAATATAATTGAATAATCACCAGCAAGTATTGGTCGAAATTTAAGTAAAAATGTATTATCATGTCTACGAGTTGCTAGTAAAGGTATTTGTATTCCATTAATTGTTATATGTACATAAGCGATATGAGGTTGATTCACTATTTATTTAAAATATATATATTCAATAAGAATTTTTCATAGAAAAACAATACTTACGTAAGAAATGTATATCATCATTGATAATTGGATAAGAATTTTTTAATATTACTTTGAATGGATATGGTCGAGGATCTAGAAAAATAAAATATCTATTTTATATTCTTAATATAAAATTTTTATTTAATGCATACCAAATATAACATCGATCGGTTGTCCACATTCGAATTTTTCTTTTATTAATTGTAATCGTTGAATTTCGATTTCATTCAATGGTATAGATTGTGATTTTAATACTAAATCTTTTTGTCGAACAACAATTTCATTTGATTTTACTAATTGAGAATTTATTATTTGTGAAGATAATTTATCTGGCTTTTCTTCTTCTTGTTGTGGTTGTTGTTGTTGTGCAAGTAATAATAATTCATGTTTTGAATAAATTGAACGTCCACGTTCTTCTATTTTAGACGATCGAACACTTTTAATTGTAGATTCTATTAGAATAAAAAAAAAAGGCCTGTTAGTGCAGCTCCTTTAGGACTAAAATGTGGAACTCACATATCTTCTTTACTTTCTTTCACTGTGCTAATGGCAAAATATATAATGTTTAAATTCCCTCAAAGACAATAATTCTTTTCTAATAATAATTAATTGTCAGCAAATGTTGTCTTTTTTTATTTATATACTTCGAGTAGAATTTTTGTTTTTGTGAAGTTGCTATGATCTATAATGGGGGCCTTTCTGTAAGGGGAGGGCGGAGCCGCGAAACTTCGAACTTAAAACTTACACTCACTATTTTCTTCGAAAATATATGTGAGTTCCACAAAAAAAAGATATGTCATGTTATCAATTGAAATATTATATTTACGTTGTTCAATATTTTCAACTAATATTTGCATTGGTGTTCTACTTATAGGAATTCGATTGAATAGTATTGAAACAGTATGTAAACCTAAGAGAATATATTTTCAGTGAAGATTACAAAAATTTTCTAAAGTTACCTAAAACAATTGGTTTAAATTGAACAACAATTTGTTCATTTGATTGTTTTTGAATAGTAATAGGTAAAGATTGATTATTTGGATCTAATAATAAGAATAAATAATATATTTAAAATAAATGAAAATTAAAAACCTTTGATAATAATTTGTATTATTCCTTTTCCAGCTTTTATTGGATCAATATAAAAACAAGTTGTTTTATTTATTTGTATATTCTTAGGAAAATTAATTAAATGTACAGCTGATGGATCAAATGCATTAACTATCAATGGATTTTCATTAAATGTTTCTTTTTTATTTAATATATAAATTTTCATAGGTCCTAAAAATCAAATATATAAATTAATATCTTTTATTCATATAATAAAGACAAAAATAAAACATACCAACAATAGTTGGTTCATATGAAATACATTTTCGTCCATCAGAAAGACATTCTATTTTATAATCAATAGTATTTCCATTAGTATCTATACAATAATTAAAATTTAGTCATAAATCAAATAATATTTTTTTGTATATAATTATTTCAATCGATCGAATTGAAAATTCTTATACTTATTAAAAAAGAAAAAGAAATTATATTAATTATTCTAATCTATAACAAACAAAAGAACTTTCGATTCGATCGATTATGTAAAAATTTAATAATCAATTCTTTTTTTTTTATTACCATGTATAATAATATTAAATTTATCATCTGGATCTTTGAGATAAAATTTTGATATATGACAAATACATGAATCGTTTAGATCAGTTATATCATATGTTTGTACAACAGAATTTGATTGATCATTAATAATAGATGATTGAAGAAATTCATTTGAAATAATAGGTGAAGTGATTGTTATATCTTCTTTTATTGGAGATGGTACACGTAAAGGTGAAAGTGATGATTGTCGAGATGGACGAAATTCAGATGTTTCACTAACTGTTGTAAATTCTCGACATGGTGAATATGAATCATTTGTACTATGTGTATCATGATCATTTGATATTATTTTTTCATGTAATGATTGTTTATCAATCGGTGATAATGGAATATAATCATCATCATAAGCAAATATTGGTAATAGAGCAAAAGAATCATTTTCATCATTTGATATACATATCCAATGAGTACCTTTGATGAAGAAAAAGAAAAGAAACGAAAGTCTTTTATCTAGAAATTTAATATTGTTTTTTATTAAAATATGTACCAACACGAACAGGTGATAAAGATATTGTTAATTCACCATGTTCATTTTTTGAACGTTGAAATGATATTGGTCTTTCAAATGGATCTATTAAGAATAAATTATTATTTTTAAATAGAACAAAAAATAAAAACAAAAAATATGATTTACCAGTAACACTTATTTCTAATTGATTATTTTGATCAATTACACCTGAAAATGTATGTTCAAGAATTTCTTTAATTTGTACACGAAGTACAGGTTCATATGATTTTTCAGCACAAAATGCCATTATACGAATAGGACATATATCAAGAAGTTTATTTTGTGTACGAATAAATATTTCATGTATATCTAAGTAGAATATTAAAAAATTTTAATTTTAAAATAATTCATTGAAAAAAAATTTTAATTTTTTTAGTATATAGAATATATATATATATTTATTATTTACCTGTTCGAACAGGTATATATTCAATAACAAGATCTCTACTTAAATTTCGATAAAATGCAGCTGGAATTGTATGAGCTAATCCATCTTATAAATGATAAAATTATATTAAAATAATTATTTGCTTTTCTTTTTTTTTAAAGTTTACCTTTAACAATAACATTAATATCATCTCCAATAATTTTTGTACGATCAATAATTAATCGTGTTATATCTTCAATACCACCATTACGAAATACATCAATTTTTTCAGTTATACAATATATATCAAATAATTGTTTTTCATCATCATCATCGATAATATTCAATTGATAATAACCTATAAATAAGAATATTTCAAATAGAAAACATATAGAAAAATTTGTTTTTTTTTTTATTACCAGTTTCAGTTAATGAATAATAAATTTTCCATTCTGATGAATGTTTTTCTATTTCAATTGGAATTTCATTATTATTTGAAGCTAATTCAATAAAAATTAAATTTTTCTCTTTTGAAAAATATAAAATCAACTTACATATTAATCGAACTTTAATATCATCATCATCATCATTATCAGAAATAATTGAAATAAAATTTAATGCATTCAAATAAACAATACGTTCACCATAAATATATCGTTCATAATCTAATGGTAATATATCTATTGATGAAAATGTAATTTGTGATTTATCACTACCAGTTTGTATTTGATAAATACCAGCTTGTGTTGGTTCAAATTCAATACGCCATCGTCCATCTAAATCTTGTATTCGTGTATGTTTTATAATAACTTTATCTGGATCTATATACAAAAAAAAAAAAACAAAATTATATTTAAATATTTTCATATAAAATAAACAAACCAGTTACGTATAAATTAAAATCTTCATACATATCAGTTAATGATGTTTCACAAATAATCCAAGCTATTTCACCAATTTTTGTACCTTCTAATTGTCCACCAATTAAAAATTCAAAATCATTATCATTATCTTCATCTAAACTATGATCATCACTTATAGATGGTTCATCAATATGAATAATAAATG